TTTAGACATTATTTTATTTACAAAACAACATTTCAGTGTTTGTGTGATTAAACATTTCAACAAGACGACATGTCACACATATTTACCAATTATAATACATTTTGTATCAACATTAGAGCACTTACGTAGTCTAAGTTAAAAAGCGACAGTCATTGCACAGCGCGTGTTCGAATTTCGCGTAAATAAGCAATGTATTTTATTGCTACGACGCATGGGAACCAAACACGACGCAACGCAACGACCTCCACGTGACGTCAGTGATATAATTAATGAGGGTCGGCAAGGGGTATTTTCGTAAGCTGTAATTAATTGTCTTTATTTTCGTGATAATGTAATTTAAATAAATAAAAAACGTAAATTCGTAAACATGGGCAAGATGTAAAATGTAATTGGTTATTTTATTCGTCCGTAATTTGTACAAATTATCAAAAATATTATAAAATTGTAAAATGTAATTCGGAATTTGCTTTAACTGTAAAATGTAAAAACCTATTTTTTAATGTAAATGGATCTTTCATGATTTTATCTCTTGTGAAAACGTAAAATGCCTTTTTTTTATTTCTTGTAACCTGCACCAGCTATCCCCCTTGCGCTATTAATAACATGATTTTTTATACGTATCACGTGATGATCACATGTACCCCTCACCTGTTTCGAAATGGTTGGTACACCCTTCTAAACAATTTGCATATGCCCGACATCCTCTATTGAAGGACACCACTTCACCGTTCTCTTCAATTTTACTGACCTACATAATATCAAAATAAAATGTTAATGTGTTGTATTTTATGGTAGTAATTTTATAACGTATTTGATGTCATCGAGAATTTGAAGCACTTCTTTTTCATTCATGACCTCCAACCTGAAAAGGTCACACATCCTGGTCATTTCGGGGGTACAAATTCTAAATCAACGAATTCAAATTATTTCCTTAAAAATGCAAACAGTTCTCATTGCAGTTCAAAAACATGGCAAGAATTATTAATGTCGGAAATTATTACTGCAAGAGGGCACATATACCCCGCTAATAATATGCCGAAAAAATGACTTCGTATTCAGACGTGTTTGACTGATTATTAATTATTAAAAACTGAAATACTTCTGTATGAGCGCCATCAGGCGGTGTCAATGGAGGGATTTCTAAATTCTACCACTAGATGGCGTGGGTCTACTGCATGGTTGAAAAGTGTTACTTACAAAACATACAGGATTTCTGTACATCCCAGAATCACATGTCTGCAAAGTTGCTGACTCGATTTGTTGCCTGCAGTCGTTTTCAGACGCTGAATCAAAACACACGTAACATTTCGTACGATCGTACGCCTCGCATAACTGCAACATACCTTAAATACAAACATATATATCGATTAATATCACAGTAAATACTATCCCAGTATGGAAAAGTGGGCCTTATAGAATTACCAACAAGATTACCGAAACTGTGGATGGTACAAACACCACGTTGATCACGGTTATGTACACATTATACACATTATCACTATGTGAATATTTACACTTGGATTACACTTGAACTAAACAGTTTAAAACATGTGTTGTTTTATTAAATAATTCAACAATAAATTACGATAATGAAATTGCTAAACATCATCTTCATCTACCAAAATACCACATGAACTGCAAATGGAACAGCAATTATAGTAGACGGAATAAAAGTAGAAGTATAAACATGTGTCTGTGTAAAACATTCGTGCGTACATGACATACACTCACCAGTTAAAAGAAAGATCAGCGGTATACATTGATAAGACATTTTCACGATGTAAAAAACTAGGAAAAAAGATATACTAAAATCATTGACTTCTTAAAATGAAAAAAAAAATATATATAATAACAAATATTCGAAGGCTAAACTAAACCCATGTGTCAGTTCACTCTATTTTATTTGATTCGTAAATAATTACAAACGTAACACTTGATTGCCAGGCCATTCCACAGTGATCACCATATACAAAATTGGTTGGCATAGTGTAAGAGATATACTATAAATATTAATCTGCCAAAATGGATTGTCCGGAAATCACCTTAAATTCCAGTGAAGTATAATCTATCAAATTCAATAACTCCTATACGATGTAAAAAAATGTGCGGTAACTACTCCTAAGCCCGTATATATGAACAAACTGACTTCTTACCTAGATTAGACAGTGAATATCCACTTCGAATAATAATGTCAAATAGTTATATATTTATACAGTTTGGTGCACGTTCGATATAACCACAATGACCAATTATTGTTATACCACCCACTAAATAATGGAATGGTCTTGTGAAAACAAGTAGCCTAAGAATCGTTTATTTCGTGTGATCAGTATGCTAATGATGGCCGAGTGTCACTAATAGGGCACAACGTGTTTGTAATTACCAACCAAATATTGTATCAACACATTTATTGTAATGTCAGGCACCGCTGATAGTAACGAGTGTTCTATTTTTGTACCAGGATTACTACGATGATATAAAAATAATTATTGAATAAACAATTTTACTTTTGTTCTCTCATACACAACTTAACGTTCATTTATCACAGGTTTCGGAGAGCCTAGAGCAACATAGCCCGACAACTTGTAATCAGTCATTATTTACATAAGCATCACGGGACAGACTTGATCCAGAGTGTTACTATTAAATTCTACGTAAATGTGTCTGAATTATTTAGGTGCCTCATTTTTAAGCGTCCACGGTGAAACGTTTTTATAGGCCAGTAATTCACTACCAGTTAACACACGTATTTTAAAACGCAGGACATTCACCTTTCTCATTGTTTTGTGCATCGTCCATGTAAATTTGAATGTATCTCTATTTTTGGTTTCAAATACTTCAGGAAAGTGTTCTAGGTTCTTCGTATAATTGGGTATTCGTATGCAATTCGGCCGAATTTTGTTATCGGTTGGCTTAATATAACCCCAACGGATCGTATTTTTGTGAAAGATTGGTATTTTTGTCCTGATTTGTAGGAATCTGAAAAACGCGTTTCACAACTTGTCTATTTAGTTTTATGCTGCATTCAAGATGGCGTCCCCCATATAGTAAATATCGTATTTATTTTATTATCACGTGTGCGCCAGCTGACTGTGCACTATTGTAGCAGACCATAGACCACAATTGACGGGGTGTCGCAGAGAGCTTGATATTCTATATTCATTTCCTCTGTCCCAATTTTGGCTTTTTAAGAGTGGAATGTGACCGCCACTCACTCACGTCATTGGGAGCACGTAATATGTATCAACTACATACCAAGTTTGGGAAGTAAA